GTACTGCTATGTAATTTCCTCTTAGAACTGCCTTTGCCATGTCCCACAGATTTCAGGTTGTTGTATTTTTGTTTTCATGTGTCTCCATATATTGCTTGAACTGTTTGAATTTGTTCACTGATCCATTATTATTATTTAGAACCATGTTGTTTAGCCTCCATATATTTATAGGCTGTTATTTTTGTGTAATTTATTTCTAGTTTATTACCATTGTGGTCTAAGAAGCCACCTGATACAATTTCAATGTTTTTGGATTTACTGAGGCTCTTTTTATGGTCTAGTGTGTGATCTGTTCTGCACACTAGAACATTCCATGTATACTTGAGAAAAATGTGTATCCTGTTGCTTTTGGCACTAATCTATTCTTAAATTCCTCCATTATATGTTGCAGATACTGCATTCTTCAGTCTGAGTGCCTCTTTTTCAGGTCTTGTAGCTCTTTGCTAAAGTCCTTCCTGAGATCTTGAATACTTTCCTGCAAATCTGTGAGCATGTTTATGACTTTTATTTTGAAATCTTTATCAAGAAGATTGGTGATCTCTGCTTCATTTAGTCCTCTTTCTGGGATTCTGTCTTGTAATTTTGATTGGATCAAACTCCTCTGCCTGCTCATTTTGTCAGGGATTCTGTTTCTTCCTTTGTATGAGATATCTCTTCTGTGCTTTCTGATCTAAAGAGTAATTAATAGTTTTATAAAGAAGGTATGCTATGGTGCCCAGATGTTCAAGATTCTTTACTTTCTAATGCCCAGTTTTGTTTTGCAGGGGCTCTAGATGTTGGTGTGCAGCAGGTGGTGTGCCTTTCAATCTGATGCCTGTAGTGGCCCAGTCTGGGTGGGAAGTTTGTTTCAGCTGCTGCCTTTGTGATCAGCTCAGGAGTCTCTGCTGAGCTTGCTGGGGGAAGGGCCACCCTCTGTCTGGCCTGCAGCAGTGGTGGGGCTGCAGAATTAATGGGGTGGGCAGACAGATGTGCCCCAGCCAGATGCACAGTAGTGGGTTTGGACACCCACAGGGAGGAAGGAGCTTTTGGGGCTGGCTCCTCCAGGCATCTCCTTGGTTGGGCTGAAGTGGAGCCAAGTAAGCTGGGAGAGTCTCCCTCTACCTGTCAGGCAGCAAAGTCTGATGCTGTTGCTGGGCCAAGTGGGTTGGATCCTGGCAGCATATGCAGGGAGGCACTTTGGGGCTGTGTTGCCAGCAAGGGGGATGGAGCTTCTGGTGCTCCCAAGAGTTCCTGATCTGTTGGGCTGAGGAAGGGCTGGGGAGGTATCCTCCACGTGCCCTTTCTCCTGAGGAGAGAGTTCCATCCAACCCTTGCCCATCTGGTACCCCTCCCACTGCTGGCAAGTCTCTTGAACTGCCACCTTTGCTTTGGGTCTTGGGGCTGGTGGCACATGCCTGCCCTCCACACTGGCTGGAGTCTCAACCTCCCAGAGTGTTCAGCATGTCCTTGGTGTCCAGCCCCACTGTCTTGCCAATGGGTTTCAGCCCTGGGAAAGTTTGCTATGGATTCAATGTGACCAAAGAAATTGACAGCAAAACGTTCTTGGGGTGAAAGAGTTATACCCAACTTTATTTCCAGGTGGCAGGTCAGTCACTAAAATCCCGTTCAATCAGAGTGAGTCTGTATGCAGCAAGCCAGTCTCTGCCTCTAGGCCCCTGTCTGCACAGCCATCCTCCAGGCCTCTCTGCCTGCACAGCCATCCCACACAGCTGTCCTCTGGGCCTTTGTCCTCGGCACTGCCACCACTCCTGGCTCTGCTCTGCTCTCCTGCATCCTTGCAGCCCTCCACCATGTCACATACAGAGCACTGGGCAGAGCTCTTTATATAGAGTCAAATTGCCCACAGATGTGCTGTGAGCTAGTCAACCAGGGCCAGGTGAGAATCCTGGCCACAGGAACTCTCATTTTATCCACACTCAACTCCTCCAGGATTCTCTCCTCTCAATCTATGTGCCCTTAGTCCTCTGCAATGGTCCCTGTGCAAGGAAGCTCAAACATTGTTATCCAGCCTCTCCAGCAAAAAGTCTTGCAGACACACAGGCCAGACTCATGGCTCTGTCTCTGACCTCTGCCTCTTTAGTCTTAATAGCTGGAACTGCTGCACTGGTTTCAGTTGTGGCCATAGCTCCAGTAAGATCCTATTTGGCTTCCCATCTAATTTCCTTCCATCTACTCCTGCCTGTATCAAATCAACCCACATCTGGGTCCTTGTAACCCACACAGGGCCCCTCAAATTCCTCCTGTGAGTAACAGGTCTTCTTTCTTTCCAGGTTCTCATTGCTTCAGCTCCTGTACATGTCACCTTGCATTCTGTAATTGCTGCCTCAAGGTGGGCTGCACTGTCAGGGAAGCCAGCTTACCCATCTCTGATCCCAACAGAACAATTCCATCCACCCCTAGGTCCCACAGCCACCAGCTCAGCCTGAGTATAGGGACGGAGCATACAGTGCTCTACAACCTGGGGAGGGGGCTGCTCCTCTCCTTGGGAAACTTTCCACTGTTGGGTCTTTATTTTCTTTACAACCACTGGGCATGCTTTCAATACAAGAGGCGCCAGTGCCTCTGGCACCACCCCTTCATTCTTTCCCAGCTCCTCCATTTCTGGGGCTGATGGCACCTTTCTCTCCACTCCTCCAAGTGCCTCTTCTGCACAGTGCCTCACAACAATGCCAGCTCAGTCTTCAGAAGGTCTCAAACCTTCACCTCAATGCTTCATAGCTGACATTCTCATGCCACCTCTGCCTGTGCTTCCCTCAGGAGCCGTCTTTTTCCTTGATGGCCTCTTCCTCCTCCTTCACAACACCTGGCAGTGCTGCTGTCTCATCTCCAATGGCACTTTGCTGCCAGCGCTCTCGTACTGCCTCCTCCGGCATCAATGCCATCCCCTTCCTCAGGGAATCCACAGAGGTTTGCAGCTTGTGTTCTCATGCCACCATTTCTTGGGTCTCCTCTGTAGACTTTTCTAATACTGTGAGAAGCAGCCAACCCACAGTCCCTGCTGCCTCATGGGCACTCTGCTTCTCAAAGGATCTGCTTACTATACCAAGGGCCACCCCTACAGCCTCAGGTGTCACCTCCACTTGCCTCCAGTCCTGGGGTATGGCTCAGTCCTCTAGGAGGCAAGCCACCTCAGACCACATACCCATTGGGGGACGATCCACTGTGTCCTCATTCACAGGGGCAGCCCACTGAAGCACCCCTCCCATAAGGGCAGCTTGTCTTTTTCCTTGGTCAACAATGAACCCTGCCAACTTTCACCAATTGTCTTGCCAATGGGTTTCAGCCCCAGGCAAGTTTGCTATGGATTCAATGTGACCAAAGAAATTGACAGCAAAACGTTCTTGGGGTGAAAGGGTTATACCCAGCTTCATTTCCAGGTGGCAGATCAGTCACTAAAATCCCATTCAATCAGAGCGAGTCTGTATGCAGCAAGCCAGTCTCTGCCTCTGGGCCTTTCTGCCAGCACAGCCATCCCCTGGGCCTCTGTCCTCGGCGCTGCCACCACTCCAGGCTCTGCTCTGCTCTCCTGCAGCCTTGCAGCCCTGCCACTGTGTCAGGTGCAGGGCACTGGGTGGAGCTCTTTATATAGAGTCATACTGCCCATAGGTGTGCAGTGAGCTAGTCAACCAGGGTCAGTTGAGAATCCTGGCCACAGGAACTCTCATTTTATCCACACCCACCAATCACCAGAACCCAATAATAATGTGGGCTTGTGCTCAGGAAGCAGATCTCCAGGGCCAGGTGTGCAGGGCTCCTGGGCTCCTACCTTCTCCCCATCCCGTTACTCTTTTTCCCACCAGTAGCCTGGGGTGGGGGAAGGGCTTGGGTCCTGCTCAGTCATGGCTCTGCCACTTTACCCTTTTCTGTAAGGTTTTCTCTTCTTCCTCAGGTGTAGGTGTCTGTTCTGCAGTCTTCAGGTCATTTTCAGGTTTAGTTGTATATGCTGTATTTTCTTCCTTTATGTGTTTTTTGGAGGCAGTTTCTGCCTTGCCTTCCTATTCTGCCATCTTTTTCCAGATCAGTACATTTGATGGTATGTATATTTCACTACAATAAAAAACTCCTTTTACATCTGAAACCACAACATATTCTACTCAAATTAATTTGATTACCTTTATATTTTTGCCTTTCACAATTAGGTCTTTAATCTGGAATCCACCATCATTTATGGTGTGAAGTAGGGACCCAACGTTTTCTCCATTTAGCCAAGTTTCCCAACACCTTCAACTAGAGAATTCATTCTTTTCCCCAGTGGACACCCATTACATCATAGAAGGATTGTGCTAAGAGTGTAACTAAGTCTCATCCAGCATCTTAGCAGGCCAGGACAATGCTGGCTAATGGCAAAGGGGGGCTAGAAACCAGGTCTTTCTAAGGCCCTGGTAGAATATGCCTCTGCCAGGCATTCTGCCAGCTCTCTTTCTCCTGGAATTGAATTCCTCTCTCTTCCCCTACTCCAGGGGAGACAGCATGGAATACAGAAGGAATAAGGAGAAGGCTGGCCAGAAATAACTGTGTTCATATAATATTGTGACAAAAACCTTGGCCATCTCCCATTTCACAGATGCACAGACTGCTAACGCCCTCAACACTGGGAATAATCCACAGCTATGCTACATAATGAGACTGGAATCTCCCCAAGGCTGAGTGGAGCACAGAGGAAGGGAGATTTAGTCATCTGCTCAACAAATATTCATTAAGCACCTACTGTGTTCTAAACTCTGTTCTAAGCACTTTAGGGGAGTTAAGGAGGCATCTTGGGTTGGGGTCTCTCAGAAGGTTGTAAATGCAAGTAGTTTATCTGGGAGGCAAGCTTAGCAAGTACTGGCAGAAGTATGGGAAAATGAGGCAGGAAAGGAAAGGAAGACAATAAAGGGTGTTTTATTGACAGGTTACCATTATGGGCAACTGAGGTCCAATCTTGCTGGGGAATTCCGGGAGCCAATTCAGAACATGCTTCCAAGTTTTCCCCCTGAGGGTGAGGGATCAGGGATACTTACCAACTCCCATCAGTTGTTGGTTGAGGGCCTCTGAAGCAGAGGCGAAGGCAGGTGTCAACTCCCCAGGACTTCCATCCTGCCCTGTGTGGGCTCAGGGTGCTCCTGTGACCAGAGAAAGCACTTGAGCAAAGGTCACAGACACTTGTAACTGGAGCGCCCAGTGAACTAGCATGGGAATGTGAGTGCCAAGGGGATATGGGGAGGTATTGACAGCATCTCTTACAAACGTTTCTTACATGACTTATATTATGTTAGCAGTGGGGAGATAGAAAGTAAACTGGCAAAAACAAATGAGCAAGATATTTTTGGATAAAGATAACTATAGCAAAGAGAGCAAAATACAGAGTGCCTCTTAACAATGGATGGTAGGGGGCTTCTTTAGATGGGGTAGTCATGGATGGCCTCCTTGAGGTTGAGATAAAATTGAGGGACAAGCAGTAAGATGGAAAAAGGGCAGAGCATCTGAGGGGAAGTGAACATCAAGTACACGTTCACTGCAGATGAGGACCAGTGTGTTTGGAAGTGCGGTGGAGTCAGAAGGGTAGGTGGTGAGAACAGAAGGTAGGCAAGGAACAGGCCAGAGGGATCCTATAAGCCACTGTAATATGTTTGGATTTAGTATTAAGCACAGTGAGAAACCTTCAGAAGATTTTGTGCAGAGAACTGACGCAATCTATGTGAATTTTATAAAGAATCCTCAGGCTTCTTTGTGTGGTCAGTGTATACAAGAAGACCACCATTTGGAGGAGTCACTGCAATAGTGCAGGTGAAAGATACTGAAGGCTTGAAGTAGGCTGGACTAGTCAGGAGATGTGGGTGCGGGAGGATGGATATAGATATATTTTGCATATAGAAACAGTAAGACTTCATTAAATAGGATAGGGATTCAAGGAGTAAAGGAAAGGGAGATTCAAAGTTAAGTTTTAGGCTTGAGCTCTTAGGATGGTGGTGCCATCTACTTAGACAAGGCAGACTGGTAAAAGAGACTGTGGTGGAGGATGGAGTTAATGTTCTCACATCAGTTGCATTGATTTTGAGATGCCTGTTACACATCCAAACGATGTCAAGCCAGCTGCTTAGTAGCTGAAGAGGGTATGTGATCCAGAGAGGTTTTCTTTTCTTCTCTTTGAGATATTAAAGGGCATTTCTATCTGATGTATCTGATGAAAAGGATTCAGTGGGGAGAAAGAAATTGCTGATTAGAAGAGAGTAATTACAGTGGTAATTCATGGAGGAGAGTGGACATCACCTGGGACACAACTGGAGGGGTTGGTTTTGATGTTAGCAAGTACACTTCATCTAATACAAACAGGACAGAAGACAGAGAGTGCACCATTATCTTAGAAGGGAAGGTTTGGAGGTGGAGAAATGAGGGAGCCTCAAATACTCAGTGGTGGATGAGGCAAAGCCTTCAGCTGTGCAACACTGGGTGGGAAGGGAAAGGAAGAAAATCCTTCAGTTGCTCTGAGTAGATGCAGAGTCAGCGGTTGTTTAACAAGGGCTGGAGTTTTGACAAATGAGTACAAAGGAAGGAGAAAGGATCAAAGGAGACAGGGTATTTTCAAGGAGGTGATCATGCAGGTAAGGCAGGGCCTCCATGAGCACCTGAGTCCGCAGAGCTGCAGGTTAGTCATCTTTACTTTTATTGCCTGAAAAATGAGAAAAGGAGGGACAGTGCTTGGTAAGAATATGGAAAGGTTCCAAGGGTCTGTTGTTAGAGACAGAGTGAATTTTCTTAAGTAGTGCCTCCCAAAGGGCTTTCCTGGTCAGGGACCCATCCTGTGCTGCTGACATTGACTCATGTGGAATCAAATCCCTAAAGTACAATGTCAAGATTGCCACTCGGCTCTCATCAGGACCCCCTACTTGTGAAGGTGGGACCTGCCAGAGGCTCTGAAGGTGGGTATATTACTTACAATTGGTCTTCCAAGTGAGTCCTGTGGTAGTACCTCTAAGGGGTGTGTGTCCAGTAGCTGCACGCTAACCTGTGTATTGAAGACCGAGGTTTAATTAAAATGAGGTTTACTTAAAATGAAAGCACTATATATTTAGGTTTTATGTGTGCATGTGTGAAATTCCAGATCGTTTCCCTCAACAGGTGACCATTTAGGAGAAGCCTTGCTTTCCAGTTTAATCACCCATTCTCTGGAAGCCAAAAACCACTGTCTGTGTTACAGTTGAGTTAAATTCCTTCCAGTAGTGTTGTAGCAGATAGGTGAGGGGGCTTTACATATTACCAGGGCAAGACCGTGAAGGCATTTTCTCTCTCCCAGGTAAAAGCAAATTGCAGTAGATTTTTATGGATTGCAATAATAAAGGATTGGCTAGATCAATTTCTGCAGAATACTGGAGGGATGACAAAATTAAACTTGTCAGTTGGTGCTTTCATGCCTGCAACTCAACTACAGTAATTCACCATAACCTGCCAGGAATGTTTTAAGCCGCCACATGGGGGTGGTAAAGGGTTTTAATACTTGGCCCAAGGAGTGGGTAGCAGGTATCCCTGGTCTGATCTGAGTGCAGTGCTCGTTTCCTGTTTTTAGCAAGTCAGTGGCAATAACGCACTCAGAGTGGATGTCTGTGACCAGGGAGCACATAGGCCTTTCTCCTACTTCAAAGAACTATACCTCTGCAAATGCTTGGCGACATCTCCACCACAGAACCTGTCATGGCTGACATGCATTAAGGTACTTCCTGACTCTCCCTCTACTCTCCAGACTGTACGCCGTTCCTTGTCCATGGACGTGGGAGGAGACGCCTGGGGTCCTGACAGTAGTAGGTGAAAGACACATGGAGACAAACCTGGGGGTTACAGCTAGCCTCCTTTTAGACCATTCTGTAGGCTCAGAAACCCTTCAAAACCCTCTGGTCCAGGCTGAGGGCTGCTAGGTTCAAAATCATACTGGGGAGCTATGGGTGAGACACCTAACCCGCACTGGCATCCTCACAGCCAAGGCTGAGTTCAAGTTGCCATTTCAGTGCTCTGTATAGGTCTGAGAATCCCACAGGCACACGTCACCTGGTGCAGTGGTGCTGGGATCAGGGACACACCAGGACAGTTTGGTGGCCCCTTTTACTGGCACTAATTCTATGGTGGGTACTTTCCCAGGAGTGAAGGAACAGCAGCTCCTCCAACATACCACTTTCCACTTTCCTTTTTACAAGCTGCCGTTACCCAGATGAAAAGGGAGTTAAATACCCACATAGCCACATGCAGAGCTGTCAGTGCTGGGGGCCCCTCACATGGTTTGCTTCTGCTTAACTCCAGCTGGTTTACTGGGCCTCTGATCCCAGACAAGCACGGCACCTGCCTACTGTCTGTCAGGTGACGGCAGTTTGCTGTAGTCCACCACAAAGGATTCCCTGGGTTTTAGGTACAACGGGGTCATGCCTCCCGAACTCCCTCCCCACAGAGAATTCTGGCTTGGTAAAGGAAATCTTCATGGGGCCAATGGCACAGGTCTGTGTGGGCGATCTAATGAGGTTGGTTTTTCCTGAGCTGCAATTACCCACTCCTTTAGCTGGAGCCTAGTTGGTGACAGGTGGCCAGAAGTCTGTTAGCATTGTTCCTTGTTATTTTGGATCACTGACATCCTGATTGGGACTAGAACCGTTCTTTCCATGATTTGAACCACTCCGTTTTTAGGGTGGCTCAGAGAATAGCCACTGGCACTTGGTTTCTTAAACAGGTAGAGCAGGTGGCTTCCCAGGCTTTCCTCTGCCTCACAGGGGTCAAGGCTGAAGGGCAGAGGACACCACTGCTAGTGCTGGTAGCACTTTACAATGTGCCTCAACTATTTCCTAATGTCTTTGCCAAGACTTCTCCAAGTTTACAGGTTCAGACAAACATACTTGTCCTCGGCGACTCATTTTGCACCCTGAAAGTACCAACCACTAAAGAAACTGCAAACGCAAATCTCCCCACATAGGTGCGAGGAGGCACTGCTTGGCTACTTTTGCCACAGTTAAGACATTATCCCTTCTGAGTTACGCTATACTGTGGAGTCCCTTTTGTCCCTGAAGCAGATGAGCAGTCAGTCCTCTCCCAGTTTCTAAGCTGAGGCACCCAGAGCTTTTCCATGAGGGTAACATTCCAAGGTATCCTTTGACCAGTTTCAGTAACTGCAGAAACCTGTAGATATACTTAGCCATGTCCTTTATATTACTGCACAGCTCAAAGACAAAGGGTATGTGGTCTGTGCTTGCTCCAGGATGCCCTGGAGGTGAGAGGTCCAATCAGGTGGCTAGGCCTCACAGGCTGAAGGGAGGATCCAGACAAGCCCTCCTCCTAAAACTCAGTTTGCTCAAGGTTTTTTTGTCATGTCCAGTGGGAGTACCTGTCACTCACCTTACCTGTGTCAAGACAGGGACCTTTGTCTTCCCATCCATAGGGCTCCCCTTATCCCTCTACCTGCTTTGTCCAGTCAACCTCACCTGAACAGACAATTCTTTCCTGGGCATTAATTAGCTCAGCTCTCAGCAGATCTCCTTTAAGTAAACTTGTTAATATAAGTTTCTGCTTTTATCATTTCACAAACTATTTCCATAGCACCTCAACTGGAGGTGGAATCATTACAAAATGTTATAGGTAAAGAAGTCAGGATTTCTAAGTAAGTTGGAAAATTCTCCCAAACTTCTTCATATTCCTGGTCACATTATATTGTTTTTTCAGAAATGAGCTCAAATTTGCACTATATTCTGGTGTACTCACTCCTTAACATCCTAGTCTTCCTTGATTGGAGTTAGGATAGGATGAGAAAGTAGCAAAACCTATTTGTGTCTTTAAAAGGTACATTCTGTGGGGGTTGACTGTTTTACCACAAGCAGTATCATCAAAATAGGGACAAAAGGTACAGGTGGTACAGACTACAGTGACCCAAATGAGACATTTTTCATGGAATCACTATCCCACTAAAAAGTATGAACTTAATGGATGCATTTCTTTGCCTTGGCTAAATGGTTTCAATGACACAGCCTGTATAACTAAGCAAATGGTTACTGAATAAAAAGCAGAAGTCTGGTACTCAAGAAGATGAGCTGCAGAAATCACATAATTAAGAACTACAGATCACATCAGTTCTCAATCCCAACCCCATGTAGTTATCACCAATGGCTCGCATTTCTTTTGGTGAACCATAGAAAACCACGAGGTAAGGAACGAATACGGCTTTTCTGGCTGGAAGCCCTGGGCTGGCACTGCAACTCTGTCACTGTCTAGCACTCTCAGAAAGCTAACTTGAACCCCAATGTCTGCCATGTGAGACAATGATACCAGCCACCTAAACTTGGAGGGCAGTTCCTGTGACTAAATTTATGTCAGATCCTGTGTATTATTTGGCAGGAGCTAATAATGTTGGCAGCCCAGTAATGTAATCAATAAAAACACAAAAGAACTCCATGTGGTGATACTTTAAAAGCTTAAACTATACTTCCTATTCCTTTTAAAAACTTAATACTACATTCTGATAAATTCTCTGCTCCTGTTTCTATTCTTATTTTTAAGCCAGTAAATGAAAAATGCAAGTTACATAGAACAAAGATTCTCCTCTAGCTTTGGATTTAACAGTAGCTGAGCTGAAGCTAATTAGAAAGAATACTTGCAGAATGAGAGCTCCAATTATGAAAAACAAAATATATACGTATCTTACTTGCTCGGATTTGAGAGCCTAACTACTCACAAGAAGATTCAGATTTTTTTTATTGTTAAGCTGCAACATACATGGTTTAATACAACAAAAAACATTTAACCAAGTGAAAAGTAATAAACTAAACAATAAACACTCAAAATATTTTCCATTGGAAACATGTTAAGATGAATATGGGGTTTCATTACCATCTTACTGCAATTTTCTTATGTGTTAAGAGCTTACATACCCCATGTTTCCTGTAATCATGCAGATGTGAATGGAAGTTTGAATGACTGAATAAATGAAAAGTCCGTTTACTGCAGGGAATCATTTCACAAGGCAGCCAAACTAGGTTCAGACAACAAAATTATTCAAGAAATTCTCCACGTTTTTAGGTTCATTTTAGAATCCATGAACCTTCAGCTGTTCCTCCTTGACAATGCCAACCTGTGAAATAAAATTTAATTTCCAGAATCACTCTGAGGAATATATAAATTCATCCCTAAGAACATATGAACAGAGATGAAAGAATCATGTTAACAGCTTATTGCAACACTATGACTTGTGGCACTGACTATTAAAAACAAATAGTTCAACACATATTTGAATACCCTGACATGCTGAAAATTACCCTATGTAGCTACAGGAATGATCAGGTCATTCTAATGACAAAATAAACCCCATAAAGTTCCTACTGCTTTCAAAATAAGCACCAACTCTTTATTTCACTCAATTAAATAATGTACCCCATGGTACATTATTCACATGGGTTTTACTAAGTAGAAAATAATTCACTTTGCCCTTAAAATACAATTTTATAAGCAATCTGAAGGTTGTACATAAAGCACCCACTCACTCACCTCCAAGAGAAACTGGCAAATGTTTTTCCTTTGGTCACCTTGAAGCTGAATAACCTCTCCGTATTCGGGATGCTCAATCACAGTACCATTACAGGCAAATTTCTGGAGGAGTAAATAAGTGTTCAATGTAACAGTCATATGCAGCAAGGTTTTACTTTCACAAGACTCAAACCAACTATTTCAGTAGACTTCATTACATTTAAGAAACAGGTTTTATGTCTAGCAATCCCAATATGCCCAAATTAATTTGCAGATGAATTAGCAGATCACAGAAAAGAAATATTTTACTTGGAACATCTAGAGCTAAATATCTCACATTTTATTCTGTTTGGAAACAATGTAAATCTTATTTTAAGATGCAACACCAGACATAAAACATATGGGTGTTTCCTTGGGTCCAATCATTTCCACCCCCGCTGATAGGTAAGGATGTGAACCATAATCCTGTTTAGAGGTGTGCATCAGTAACTATATTTTAATCTTCCTAGCAGCTTTACCTTTTTGAAAGCTTTCACAAGTTTCTTTTTGTCATAATCATCTGCAATGCCCTGAACAGTAGTCAATGTCTTTCTGCCGTTCCGTTGCTGGATTCTTATATGAATGTAATCCTCAGTCCCTGCCGGGAGTAAGTCGTCACCCTTAGTTGCATCAGCAAAGGGGTCTGTAAATACAAATAAATCCAAAGCCAAAAAAGTATCTTTTAGTAAGCAATTTCCAGAGACTTGGTACACTACAATCTAGACAGTCAGCAAGGAAGGTTCTAGTGCCTCTGCTTTTTTCTGCAGGTGGCGGGGCGCTGACGGGGGTGGGGCATTAAATAAAAGCTTCAAGATACTCCCACACACAAAAAAAATAGAAACAGTAATTTTCCATTGATACTCGAACCAAAACACTATGTTACAGGTAGATAATGCAATCGTTTAACATCATCCTGTGATGAGAGATTTCTAAAACTAATTTTCTGGTCACTACAAGAATGTGCGTCATCTCTGGTACATCCTGATGACAACAGAAACCTTGAAACGTGCCCACCCCACAGTGATCATTTAACCTAACTGTACCTTGCAAAAAAAACGGACACACCCGTGCAGGTGTGTGAACCTATCTACCCAGGGGCGTGACCTTACAAATGACTCCGCACGTAGAGAGCCCCGACTGCCCAGAGACAGCCCGACGGCCTGTNCAGCGAGGGGGTAAAATTCCTGCGGGGCCCGCCCGGATCACCGTTGTCAAGAGGCTGCAGCGGCGAGAAAATGAAAATGCGCTCGGGGCCGCTTCGGCGGGGCTGGGCTCGGCGGGGGCGGCGGCGCGGGCGGCAGGAGGCAGGCGGCGGGGGAGGCGGCGGCGGCGGGCGCAGGAGAAGAGGCGGCCGCGGCGGGTGCTCCACAAAATGGCCGACAGAGGCTCCTGAGCCGCGCCACCGCCCCTCCCGCGTGACCCGCCCGCGCCGGGCAACCTGGGACTTGTGGTTTCCGGGGGCCCCGAGCCGGAGCGGGGGTCCGAGTGGGCGACCCAGCTCTCCGCGCGCCAGCACGCTCGGCGCGGGGGCTCGTTCTCTCGCCGCGTAGTGGCGGTGCCGAGGCCTGGCTGCTGGCAACGCGCGGCCCGGGGTAATGCGAGTAACATCGGGGAGCAGGAGCCCCTGAGCCCGGCGTTCGACCCCACTGCGGCCCCTGCACCTACCTCCCGCGTGGGAAGCCCCAGGTTCCAGGCAGGAGCCTCCCGGGGTTGGCCCGCCCCGATTCCCTAGCCGAGGTCCCCAAGCTGCAGGGCGCGTTCCTGGGCTTCAGGAAAACCCACTGCAGACTTCCAGAGTTTCTGCTTCAGGGTCCAGGGTGCGACCCGAGAATCTCCAAGTGCACCAAGCTGCCGGGAGATGGTCACCTGCGCCTGGCACCCTGGAGGCCACTACCTGTCCACAGAACGAGCCGGAAACCCGGCCTTTTGGCTCGAACGCAAAATCGGGACCAGCCTTGGCGCCGGGTGAGCTGCAGGGAGCTCAGCGAACAGGGTAACGACACTGATGCCATCCTGCCCAACGACACAGAAAAGCAAACAGAGACCTCGGGAGTGGCTTACCCAGGGGGTGTTCAGTTGTAAGACATATTTGGTTTTCTGGAAAATTTAGGTATTCTTACCCTTTTTGTGTGCCAGGCCAGTCTTGTGAAGCCCATGGACACCTCAGAATGCTCTTAAGTGCATAAAGTAAAACAGGTTTACAAAAGAAAAAGGTCATATTGAAATTCATTGACAGCATAGTATTGTTTCTTTACTAATGCATTAATAAGATCTAGCAGCAGGTCTAGTAACTCTGGAATTTCAAAAAAGGTGCTGAAAAGATATTTTGAGGTGTCTGTAACATCAGAAATGTAACATGAAAATATCTGTGATTTCTCTTGGTGCAAAATGACAGGTTCAACTACTCTTGATGTTGCCAGTATTCATAATGGAGGAAATAAATCTTGCTTAGAGGTTTGTGAAAATGTAGCTGTAATCTTTTTTTCCCTTCCATTTTTTGAGATTTCCCCCTGTGGTGTAGTTTCATCCATGAATCCAAGATCTACAGACCCCAGGTTAAGAATACCTGGATCAGCAATCTAAGTGTTCATCAGTAGATGAATGGATAAAGAAGATGTACATATACACAATGGAATACTATTCAGCCATAAGAAAGAAAGAAATCCTACCATTTGCAACAACATGGATGCAGTTAGAGGGTATTATCCTCAGTGAAATAAATCAGGCAGAGAAAGACAAATACCAAATGATTTCCCTCATTTGTGGAGTATAACAACAAAGCAAAAGTAAGGGAACAAAAATAGCAGCAGACTCACAGACTCCAAGAAGACTAGTGGTTACCAAAGGGGAAGGGTGGGGAGGGCCAGTTGGGAGGGAGGGAGAAGGAGATTGTGGGGTATCATGATTGGCGCACATGGTGTGGGGGAGGTCAAGAGGAAGACAGTGTAGCTCAGAGAAGACAAATAGGGACTCTGTGGCATCTTACACTGATGGACTGTGACTGCAAGGGGGTATGGGGGAGGCACTCGATAATAAGGATGAATGTAGTAACCACATTTTCTTGTGAAACCTTCACAAGAGTGTATATCAATGATACCTTAATAAAAAAAATACCTGGATCTATTAATTAATCTTTTTTGAGTAATGATGGTAGGTCCATTTATTAAATGCTTGCTATTTGCCTATTAAAAGGCTTATACACAATATTATTAATCTTCATACCATTCTATGATGTAGTCATAATTCTAAACAGATGTAGAAATGGAGGCATTGTTTGGTTAAGAAATTTGCCTAAAAAGAGAAAATCAAATTCTTAACTCAGGAATCTTAACTACATTTTTGGTCTTCTAGTCCATATTTAAATGAGTAACACTTTTCTTATCCAAACTTAAGGTACAAAGTTTTAGAGAAAGGAGAATCAAAACTTTTCGTTGTTTTTTAAAATATATTTTTGTAATAAATATTTTGTATAAAATTTGTCATATATATCACAAACTTTTGTCCAATGGTTTCTGTTATTTGGTCTTAATACCTTTATAGTCATGCTTTAAAGTAATTTTTACTACTACTGTAGATGAAGTGCAGAATAAACAAAATGCATCTCTATTTCTGGATGTCCATAATCACTTTATATTACATTGTTTCTCAGAAGAAGCCAAGGGTGGTCCAGTGAAGGAAAAAAAAACAATTAAAATCCAGAAATGTTAGGGTTTTCATGGTTGTTAACGCCTATCATGAGAACTCATCCTTTTTAATTCTTGGTGTTTACATCAGAAACCCCTATGAGCTCAGCAATCTTCAATCAAAGACAACTATAAATACAGGTTAGGTGCATTTATGATTATTATGTTAAAAACTCTTCTGACTTTGGTCATTCATAGTCTTTGTTTTGAGACCTGCGCTGTCCAGCACAGGAACCACTGGCCACATGTGGCCACCAAGCACTTGGTGTTCCTGATCCAAATTGAGATACATGAGATATGTTTGTAAGTATAAAGTGCACGCTTTCAAAGGCCTTTCTTAAATTATCTGTTTCACGTGCTGCTTTTTACTTTTTAAAATGTGGCTAGAGGAAATTTAGAATACATGGGCTTCACAAACTTAAATTTATAGCACTGGTTTAGAGTGAGGGGATTGACTTATATGTAAAGTTGTCATAAAAGAAATAAACTGAAGTACCTCAAGTCTAGTACTTTTCATTCTAAATATTACCAGCTTAGTTTAACGTGATTATTTCCTGTCTTATTTCAGGGGCGAGTTTAGATCACTTGCAGAGAACAGTAGTATTGACTAAAGGAATCAGGGAAGATTGAAAAAAGGAGAATAGTTGAAAAGTCAAAGCCCCCAAATCTGGCTCTTCACTTTCTAATGGTTAAGACAAAGAGAAAATCAGCTAAAAGATCCATATGTCTACAGGATGAAAACGTACGAGCTGTGCAGGAGGAATGACTTGCCTGCCCTGAGCCACAGGTGTTTTTCTTGAGCCCTCATAAAGGGGACACTGTGAGGTAGTGAAAGCATCCCTAGCACTTTGCACACTATGAAGACAATGGGTTTTACACACCTGTTTCTTATATTTGCTAGTCACAAAAATGTGCTTACCTGGTTATATCCTCGGGTCCACATCCATCTTACCGTGGTGTGCATGTGATAATGTATCACTCAGATTTCCTGCCTCAGCGAGCACAGTTGACCTGTGTACAGCCCAGCTGCTGTACTGTGAATTCAACATTGCATCCTGCTGAGGCCACCCTTCTCACCAGCTGCTCCCAGCCAGTGAGTGCATCAGGATCCTACTGCAGGCTTCTTCTGCAGAGATGTGGGCCTCCTCTGATGGGTGACCCTCCTCTAGGACTCCACTGGCCTGGCCAAACTCTCTTAGACTTTTGCTGAATTCTAAGACTTCCTGTTAACTCTTCTTCCTGCTCTCTTTCCCAGGGTCATCTTCTGTGGCACGCTCTACCTCACAGGTGTTTCCCCTGGTAAATCTCTCGCACATCTAACCCCACCTTGATGCCCGGTTCTCCAAGGACCTAAATTGATAAACCTAGCTCCATCTTGGGTGGAATTCTTGGGAGATTTGGGAAGTAGCAGGACAGAAAAACTTGAGTAGCTGACTCACCTCTGTAATAAAGCAGTATTTGGGCCTGCAATTAATTACTCTACCCTCCCTGGATTCTGCTTCAGTTTTCTTATGCATGAGCCAGGTGTGCATTTTTAGTCACCAAGCTCAGAGGCAACAAAAAAAAGGACCTGGGCTTCCAGCTCATATTTGCAGGGTTCCAGCTTGCTTGCATCTTCTCTTCCTGACTTTGCCTTATGGACATAATCTCCTTCGCTGTGAACTCTGCATCAGATACAGAGGTATCTGTATGCATAGAGATCTAGAGAGCCTTACAGTACTGTAGCAAATTCCTTCCTGTGTATTTGTGTTTTCAACCAGAGAAGAGGGACCAATAAGAGATATATACAGGCACTGTTCCTGGCCCTGTGTGAGTACTGTGTACTGTTCCCCCATGCCTTTGGGTGGTTCTTTCCTAGGCCTAGCATGGTTTCCTTACGTTATTGTGCTGGTCAGTCTGCCAGTCTATCCTGGAGGAGGACCTGAAAACAGCTAAGAGCTCCCTGTCTCTGAAGCTCTACCCAGTATTTTGTGAACTCTTGCCACCTTGCTGTGCTCTGACTCTCAACCTTTCCTACCCAGTGCAGTGTGTCTGCTGGGCTCTGCCTGTGTTACCCTTGAGACTCTTTCAAGGCAGTAAGATGGGACTTACTCATCTTTTCCATCTCTCAGGGATTGCTATCTTTTGTTTGATATAGAGAGTCTTGAAAAACTGTTGTTTCTTACATTGTGTCCTGTGTTTTTTTTTTTCAGGCGAGAGTAATGGAATGCATTTCTCTTGACTGAAAGCAAAAGTCCAGTACGTGTGTTTTGAGTGAGTGAGTTTCCTGGCATCTCTCATGAGATTAAACCTTTAGCTATAAATGTCTCACATGCAGGAAAGGAAAACTGACTTCTTCAGAGTGACTATTCTTTATCCACCCATGGTGTAAATGTGTGTGTGTGCAAATTTGTATCCACTGGTGCTCTAAATTTTTTTACAGTCCTAAGAAGCTGCATTGAGAAGACTCTGGGAAATGTGCATTAGTGCTGTCCTCTAGCAGGGAGGCTCTGTGTAGTTTTATGGCAGGGAAAGGAGCCAGCCAACCTGTCAGTTACATAGTTGAATTTCTGTTATATTAGTTTGCCCATTACCCACTTTTATAACTGAGACCTTGCAGATTTTCTTAGTACTTCCAAGTACTGGGTAGGGAGTTAAACATACTATGAATACTTGGTAAACGGAAATTGTAGAGGAAATACATTCTAAACAGGCATGCTGCTTAAGTAAGCAAAAAGAATTGCTACTACTGTTTTGTATCTTCCACTGTGGGCCAGGAAATGTGCTAAGCATGGTATGTTATTTACTATTAATAATTGCCGTTTTACAGGTGAGGAAAATGAGACCTCTGGGGAGTTTATTACTTGCTCAAGAACATATAGCCAGTAAGTGGCAGAGCCAGGATTTATACCCAGGTTTGTCTACCTCCAAATTTCATGTTCTTTCTCCTATATTCTTACTCCTTTATGGAGGTCCAGCATATACTTTGAGTCATGCTATGTTTATTAGTGTTTTTATAGGAAAAGAATGAGAAATCTGGCCAACTGGGGACATGTAAGACTTAGACCAGTGAAATAGAGTTTCAGTGG